CCATTGTGTGTTTGTACCATAGTTTGTTTATCCATTCATCTGTTGATGGGCATCTAGGTTGTTTCCATCTTTTTGCTATTGTGAACAATGGTGCAATGAACATGCCATGGGTGTGCATATGTCTATTCGTGTGACGGCTTTTATTTCTCTAGGATATATTCCTAGGTGTGGGATTGTTGGATCATATGGTGTTTCTATTTCTAGCTTTCTAAGGAAGTGCCATATCATTTTCCAAAATGGTTGTATCATTTTGCATTCCCACCAGCAGTGCATAAGAGTTCTGATCTCCCCACAGTCTCTCCAACATTTTTATTTCCAGTTTTTTTGATTCGTGCCAGAAATGCCGGGGTGAGATGGTATCTCATTGAGGTTTAATTTACATTTCTTTAATGGCTAGTGAGCGTGAGCGTTTCCTCATGTGTCTGTTGGCCATTTGAATGTCTTCTTTGGTGAAGTGTGTTCATTTTCTTTGCCCATTTTTAATAGGATTATTTGGCTTTTTGTTGTAGAAATGTTGGATTTTTTTGGTAAATTTTAGAGATTAGATCTTTGTCTGACTTGTAGTGTCCAGAAATTTTTTCACAGTATGTAGGTTCTCTTTTTATACTTTTGGTGAACTCTTTTGATGAGCATAAGTGTTTCATTTTTAGAAGATCCCATTTATCTAGCTTATCTTCTGGAGTTTATGTGTTGTTGGTTATGGTTTGTATCCCATTAATGCCATGCATTAAGGCCTCTAGTGTTGATCCTATTTTTTCTTCTATGAACATTATAGTATTTGGCTTTATATTTAGGTCTTTGATCCATTTGGAATTTGTTTTTCTGTGTGGTGTGAGCTACGGGTCCTGTGTCATTTTTTTGCAGTTGGATATCCAGTTTTGCCAGCACCATTTGTTAAAAAGACTTGTCTTTTCTCCATTTGATGGACTTGGGCCCATGTAGAAGATCAGGTGACCGTAGGTGGATGGATTTACATCTGGGTTCTCAATTCTGTTCATTGTTCAATGTATCTGTCATTGTACCACTACCAGGCTGTTTTGACTACTGTAGCTGTATAGTAGGTTCTGAGGTCAGGTAGTGTGAGTCCTCCTACTTTATTTTTCTTCTTCAATACTGCTTTACTTATCTGGGGCTTCTTCCCTTTCCATATAAAGTTAATGATTAGTTTTTCCATCTCTTTAAAGAATGTTGTTGGTATTTGGATAGGGATTGCTTTGCATTTGTAAATTGCCTTGGGTAGAATTGTCATTTTCACAATGTGGAGTCTACCTATCCATGAGCATGGAATGCTTTTCCATTTATGTAGATCACTTTGGGTTTCTTGCAGTAGTGTTTTGTTGTTTTCTTTGTATAGGTCTTTTACATCCTGGTTAGATTTATTCCAAAGTATTTTTTTTAGGGGCTATTATAAATGGTATTGTTTTCCTGATTGCTTTTTGTTCATTCTCTTCATTGGTGTATAGGAATCCAACTGATTTTTGTATGTTTATCTTGTATCCTGCTACTGTGCTGCGTTTTTCTATCAGTTCCAGTAGTTTTCTTGTGAAGTATTTAGGGTTTTCTATGTATAGTATCATATCTTCTTCGAACAGGAACAGTTTTACTTCTTCCTTACCAATTTGGACGCCCTTTATTTCTTTTTCTTGCTTTATTGCTCTAGCTAGGACTTCCAGCACAATGTTAAATATGAGTGGAGATAAAGAGTATCCTTGTCTTGTTCCTGTTCTCGAGGGGAATGTTTTCAGCCGCTGTCCATTAAGAATGATTTGAGCCATTGGTTTTGCATAGATGCCCATTATTATGTTGAGAAATTTCCCCTCTATACCTATTTTATTCAGAGTTTTTATCAGGAATAGATGTTGGACTTTGTCAAATGCCTTTTCTGTGTCGGTTTAGATGATCATGTAATTCTTTTATTTCCTTTTATTTATGTGGTGGATTACATTGATTAATTTTCTAATGTTGAACCATCCTTGCATACCTGATATGAACCCTACTTGGTCGTGCTGTTTTATTTATTTATTTTTTTTGATATTATGCTGAATTCTATTGGCTTGAATTTTGTTGGGAATTTTTGCATCTATATTCATGAGAGATATTGGTTTGTAATTGGCTTTTTTGTGGTGTCTTTGCCTGGTTTTGGCATCAGGGTTATGCTGGCTTCATAGAATGAATTAGGAAGTGTTGCTTCCTTTTCTATGTTCTGAAAAAATTTGAGGAGTACTTGTATAAGCTCTTCTTTGAATATTTGTTAGAATTCTCCAGTGAAGCCATCTGGGCCAGGGCTTTTTGTTGTTGTTGGGAGTTCTTTTATTACCTTTTCAATCTCTTCTCTTGTAGGGGTCTGTTCAGATTTTCAACAGTGGGGGTGGAGGGATGGGTATGGGTAGTTTGCAGCATGAACTCTTCCTTTGTCTTTGGAACATATAAATATGTTTTTGATTCAAATTGAACTTATCTTCATTTTGTTGTTGTTAGGTCGATTCTGACTCATCATGACCCTGTAAGATAAAGTAGAACCGCCCCCCCCTCAGTAGGGTTTCCAAGGCTATGACCTTCACAGGAGCAGATGGCCAGGTCTTTCCTTCTGCAAAGCAGCTGAGTGGGTTCAAACTGCCAACCTTTTGGTTGCAGCAGAGTCTTAACCCATTGCACCACCAAGGCTCCTCTTTGTTTAGGGTGCAAGTAAACTTAAGCTAAGTAAATGGTTAACAAAGTGATTTTATCTATTTTACATGCTTTTAATTATGTATTTATTTTATAAACAACCATTTATGTTGATGGGAAAGTGCATTAAAGATACTGAGTACAAAATCTTTTTATATTTATTTGTAGGGTATATCTGGATATTTTAAATTAATTGGATAATCAAAATTTCAAGTCATAAATGTATAATCACGGACAGGAATGGTGATGAAAAATTGCTTGAATTGGCCCCAAATTAAAGGAGGTGTATGTTATGGATTCAACAGCAGATTGCAGATTCAGTGGGGAGATGCTGCTGTCATCAGCCTTTCAGAATATCAATAGAGTACATATCATTTTAATTATACACACTTGCCACTGAGTGTTTGTCCACAAAAGACTTCCCTAATTAATTATCTTTCCCAATTTTTATGATCATAGTTAAGGTCTTATTTTTTTCTGACTTGACATTAATAAAATAGATCCTATTCTATTGAAATTTATTTTTCTTTTCCTTATTGCCAAAGAAATGAATGTAGCTTCCCAAAATATGGATGTGATTATAATCTATTAGGTATGCAGATATTTCAACCAGCAGTATAAAGTGTCATGAAGTGGTTATTTTAGAAAATTGCACTTTTGAATTTTGTTAATAAAAGTTGGGAATCTGAACTGCTCAGTCACAACTGTACTTAATACTTTGGGTTAAGTTATGTGAATTTGTTAAGTAACAAGTCTTATTTTGATAGTTTTAAATGAAAAAAATAGAGTGACTATTAGAGAAAGGAACTGGAGACTGTGTAAAAATGTTTTCTAAGCGCTTTTCTGCAAAGAAGTACAGGAGTAGCTTGCTGGATAAATGAGATCTAAAAATGCTTTTATCTTCAAAATGTGATAATTACAACATGTCTGTATGCTGAGAGGA